AAAGGAAGGAGTGTTTTCTTCCTCTGCTATTCGACTTAATTCGCTTCTCCCGAGTTCTTCGCCCAGTTCGCTCTCGCTCAGCTTTCCTGTTCCTGTCACGTTTCCGCTCACGAAGCTCGCCCGCTCACCTCCTCCCTGCACCGAAGATCCCTACTCGCACTCCCCGGCTCCTCCCTCTCGTGCGTAACCATGTTGTGCAGCGTAAGTCCTCTCTAAAAAAACCATGTTTTAGGCCCCTGCACAACCATGTTGTGCAGCGTAAGTGCTAACTCGTCTTAGGTTCCGAGGTTGTCATCTAGAGTGACGTAAAACCTCTTATCTCGCGGGCTATTTGCATAATCAGTTATTATGCAAATGTAAGTCCCAAATAATGAAATTGACAGGATTCAACATTCAAATAAAATCCTCTCTAAAACACAACCACACATTAGGATAGTTTGGGAAATCACTGAGGGTTCCCCTCAGAATCTGTTACATCCCCTACCTTTTACTTATTTTGGACTCCTGAAAGGATTGTTCTTACTCGAGTCATTCTCACTTGTTTTTCCACGTCCTACCTTGAAAACCTGAACTTTGAATTCGTGACGAGAGACCAATAACTTTGATCATTATCGAGAGTTTTCTCAAGTGACTTCAGTCATTTGTGATATAATTAACTTAGGGTTTTGCCTTTATAGAAAATTTGGAACCCAAGTAAAATAAACTCTATTTAATCTTTGTATTAAATAAGGGAATTTGTCGGTCACATATAAAATGTTCGCAGACCACATGGATGTCACAAACCTCGTAGTTTGTATGATTGGGTCTATTGTCGCGGGGTACACTTATCTTTCGAGAAAGTATATCATTTGTGGTACAGGACACGATTATACAAATTATTTGGCAAATGAGATCCAGTCGGTCTCATTTTTTTTCAAAATTAAAATACACTATTTTCATAAAATTATATACCTTTTAGGTTAAATTAAATCATCTACTTTTCAAAACTATAAAAAATACTTTTCGAAATCAAAAAGTTGACCGACAATATATTTGCTTGTCCATGCCTTGAACTATCATCCTTATACCTTTTAATTATATGATTAATAAAACAGATTTAAGAATTTCAGAAAAACTTTAACAAATCTGAAGTTCAAAATATATAATTAAATTTATAAAATCTCAAATTAAGTTCCTGAACACACTTAGCATATCCTTTTAGTCCTTACAATTCCTCAGTGCTCCTACTGTTCTCGGAGATCTCTTCGAGGCACTCGGGACTACTAACTGATAATACTAAGCAACAGCTTCTTAATTTAAAATAATATAAAAATAATAATATAAAATGAAAACAGATTCATAAAAATTACTTCTGAGAATTTAAATCAAGTAATCAAAATCATAAATCAACAACTATAAAAGATAGCTAAATAACATGAGAGAGCTCGGCAAATTAACTCATCAAAATCCTTAGTAGGATCCCTCAAAATACTATGAAAGTTTTACCCCAACATAGCTCTGATACCAAAAAAAAATAGGCGGAAACGGGGGATCGCCGGCTTGGGGGTCACGAAGAACTTATAGCCGGAAAATAAAAACTTAGAAAGATAAAAAAACTTCAGCAGATTTTATTAGTAGAAACACTCACAAACTAAGAGAAGTACACTTGGCTTCAGGCCAGACTGACTGCAACTCAAACATTACTCTCCCTTATATAGATGGGAAGACGAAGATAAATATCAAACCAAACTGACAGGATAACGTGGCCATATTAGTGAGGAATAATTCCCATAATGCGTGGACGACCAAGATTTCATCTTAGAAAAAGATTGTAACTTGATAATTTAATTCTTCAAGTACCTCTTTTGGGATGACACTTGTGCTCGCACAGCATGATGTTGCTCCAGTATCCAGTATCCCTTTTAATTTGAATCTATCAATACCTGGGATTTCAAAAGTCATTGTCAAATTAAATAATTTATTGATGATTCTTTTAGGAGTCTTCAACACTTGTCCTTCAATACTTCAGAGAACACCTTCATTCCATGTTCTTCATTTGAATCGTCTTCTTCTTCAAATGTTACAATCTTTTTACCCTTATCTCCTAGGGTAAGTTCCTACAAATCTTCTGATAATTGTTTTTCAATTTCTTGTTGAAGTTGTTCCTTCAGCCTTCTATTTTCTTCAACTAAATGCTCTGTGTATTTAACCAGTTCATAAATTAAATTATCTTTTGATTGAAATTGTAATAAGGATAATTCCTTTTGAACTGTTATTGCCAAATAAAACTTGGCACAAGATGGGCAAGCAATTAATTTGCATATTACGCAGTGTATTCTCATGTTAGGGTTTGAAATAATAAAACAATAGGAACAGCGAGAATACTGACTTTTAATTGCTTTGTTATGCTCCCATTGGTGTGAACATTTTTCTTGATCTTCCTTCAGCTTAATTAAACATCTCCATCCATAATCTTCTTTCATCATCAGTCCAAATTCTTCTGTTGGATAATTATCCAGAGCACTTCGAATACGGGTAAGGGTGTTGACTCCTTCTGAGATTGAGCAAATAGTATCTGATGATTCTTCATTCAAGCCTACAGAAAGAACATCGTAATCCTCTGGTAGTTCAAGATTGCTGAGAATAGCTGCTCTTGTCATATTGTCTTTCTTACTTTTGCACTCCTTAGCAAAATGTCCTTCATCACCGCATATATAGCATCTACACTTGGAAGAATTTGGTTTGTTCTTGTTTTTAATTACACGAACATGAGAATCGTGCGATTTTCCTTTGTAATTCTTTGATTTCCACAAGCCGTACTTCTTATGTTGATTGTAAAAGCCTGGTACTGAAATTTTCTTACAGAGTGAGAGATCTTTTATTCCTCTCTGAACAGCAGCTCTTTTGCATAATTCAGCAAGGTACTGATAGGTAAATCTTATCCTTGGCATTAAAACAAGATTGTAACTGTGAACTGTAGCTAAGCTTTTCATTTTCACTATATTGTCGTGGATTTCAGCTCGGTGGTCAGTTATGGAGAGAATAGTATTGTTTTAGAAGAAGTTTTGGAAGTACTAAAATAACGTAGGTAATATTCTTTTTAAGTACTTTAATTATCTATTTTTTTAATAGTTCTCTCCTACTGTTTGTTACTGTGAACTGTAGCTAAGCTGATTAATTTGGTGCAGTGATTAATTTAAGGATGTTAGGAGTTGAGCTGAAGTAGTTGGATGCGAGTATATGGGTAAGCAAAATTTATAATTACATCTATATGTAATTAATTCAAATTTAAGCAATTCCTTTATATTACCCTATATTTGGTTGTGGCAAGGAATGAAGCGAAATAAAGGTGGAATATGGAAGTAAGGAATGCAGGTTCGCAACCTGGGCGGGTGGGGGCGCTATTCTACCCGCTTCTTTCATTTTCAACACAAACCTGCATTTTCACCTTACAATTTGCCTTTCACCTTTCAAGACAAACTGACACACATTCTATCTTATGAGGAGATCACTGAGTTAACCTCACGTTTTCCGGTCCCTCTCATTGGTAATTTTTCCTGGAGCAGTTAAGAATGATGCGTATGAGTAGTTCCATAAACGATCCAGATTTGATTGATGATTACAATGTGAAACATTGATTCTTCACATTGATTCTCATCATGGCCTAATCAAGTTTTTCCAATAATCTGAATACTCAAGAATGTTCTCTCAGAGAACGTATTATGTTGATAGGCAATTCATATGCTCAAACGAGACCCCAATCTTACTACGTTCAGGAACCCATAGTCATTATTGTTAGGATTGTTTTCCCACATTTATGATTCACTTATTTAATCAATCAATTTTGCTCAAACTTGGCTCAATTATATAATAAACTACTGCATGTAAAGTCAACTACTGCTCGGCTTTATGGACAATCAATGATAAAATTCTTACTAAATTAAATGTTATTCTTCTCTTCAGCAAGAATTCGCATCGATTCTACATCTAATGATTACTAGAAAAAAGTGAATTCTCAATCAAAAAAAATTCAAAAGCCATATACTGAAGCGAGATAATAATCACATGCAAGATGAGATTAGAGTAACAATTTTATATGGATATATGTATTGGACAATAATGAATTCGTTGAAAAAAAAAACGCTAAAATGCATGTATAGATAGGCCAAAAAAGAAAGAATTAGATCTAATTAAATGGAAGAAAATATAAGAGCAGAACTAACTGAAAAGTAAATAAGAAAATAAACTTTCGTTGTTTCAGCATATGCAACTACAAAAAATGCACTAGTAAGACATCATAGAAATAACGTGAGAGATTAGAAAGGAAAAGAATACCAAAAATAACAGTAAAAAGATACCAGCATAAGATTTAACAAGTCAAACACCACTCTACAAATAAGGAAGAAAGAAAATTCATAAAATGATTGCCGAGTAGTTTTATGATGATGATTATGGTGGTCTTGGACATTATCAAAATGAAATTCTCAACCCGCTGTATAGCTTACTTGAACCTCAGAGTGTCATATCAAAGGTATCCGGTGTCATATTCAATTGTCTCAGTTCATGAGCCACCCACTGTTAGAACGTGTCAATATTGCTAAAGGCACATCATTTGGACTAATCAAACTCAGGATCACAATTATATTTTTCATTTAAATCATAAATTTAAAGTATTGTATCCCCTAATTGAATAAATTCTCAATCAAAATCTTAACATATCTATAGAAAAAGAAAAACCAATAGTTAAATTGCTAGAATACATAAAGTAGTAAAAAACAAAAAGGTATAAAAAGCTTGCCTGACAAATTGGCTGAAGCTAAGCAAAGAAAAGTGAGCCTTTCACATAAAAAAATTAATATCAATGTAGGAAACTTTTTTCATTTTTTCAGCAAGGCATGTGATTATAAGGAAGTACAGAAACATAAAACATACATTTAAATTGTGAAAGTGCATGACATAAAACAAGTGCCAAAGAAGTAATGAAAGAGACTAAATCAGAAAAAAAAGAAGATATTTGCTACCTTCGGCAGCAAGATTAGCAACCACCTTGACAGCATGGGTTTGCACATCCAAATCTTCTGACTTTAATAGAGACAGTATTTTTGAAAGGCCAACTGATGGTAGCACATCACATGCACCAAGGAAAATAACAAAAAAATAAACAACAGTTGAAGTTACATGACAATGCAAATAAATAGTGCAAATTGTAGTCAGCCATGCCTTCCTCAAAAATTTTGGCAATGGTGGCTTTTTGACCAAGTGCAGACTCTCTTGGTTTACTTGGCTTGGATAGATTCGAAGCAAATTCTAATCCAAATGATGGTTTAGTATGGTTGCCTCTTCCTTTGGACATTTCAGCCTATAAAAATGTAAAATGCTCAGGCCTGCAATAAATTCAACATAACCTGCATAATGTAAACACTGAGATTAGGTTACCTCAAAGGCCACTCTATTGTCAGATAAAAGCTTATTCAATTTGACGATTTCAAATTCAAGAGATTTCCTGTGCTTTTCTTCATCAAGCAACTTTTCTTGAGAGAATTTAAGCTCTTTAACCAGCAAATCCTGCAAAGAAAAATAAAATATCACTTGCAAATTGTAATAACCCATTTATGAGAAATTTGATAAATTTTTTGGGGACATACAATGTACCCCAGTTTTAGCATCCCTCGGATTTCAATCGAAATAATATTATAAAATTCTATACGAAAAATCAATCAATTCCATATAAAGTACTTGTAAACTATGAATGGCTTGAGAAATGTAAAATATTTAAGTTATAAGTTTAATTAATTTAATAAACCTTAATTATTTCCTAAACCTCAGCACTGTAGCCACCGACTTGCGCCTCTTTTATTCCTTTTGTTCAATCGAATGAGTTTAGAGCTCTCAAAATATACTCCCGCTCCAGATACCCCCCTTTCCCCTCGGTTTCACGATTTCACTCGCACACCCTCCCTCCCTCCCTCCCTCCCTATTTGATCGAGCTCAACATAAGCTCATATAAGGGGCTTCGATCACAGCTCATCGCGCAGACGCGATCCGAAGGGATGAGCGGCCATCTGGTAAGCAATGAACCACTCCAAGTTTCTGATTTCCTCTCTCGACCCTTCTCCCTTGCCCATACCCCTCCCTATTCCTTTCTGGCACGACAGAAGCAGCGAGGTAGCAGATGGGTCGAGCGGCGCTGAGGGAAGCTACAATCTGCATTTTAGGGCTCTGAGGTATTTTTAGTGAATAAGAAACCCTATTTCATACTATTTGAAGTTTCATTTTCTCTCTCTTGCTTTCATTTTGAGTTTTGCCTCATTTTTCATATATTTTTTTCCTTTTCAGTAGTCATCCGAGGCATCGATTGGGTGTCAAACGTGTCGAAAGTCTTTTGTGAGCATCCAAAAGAGTTCTAGTATGATATCAATGTAGGAGGTGTAGTTGGAAGTGATAGAAAGTAAATTTGGCAACTTCGGAGAAGGGCTGGTCTCTGAGAAAGCCGTAGGTATGTTTTGGCTAATTAATGATATTTTGTGTTAAATTACATATTGAACTTATATAGGAATTCCTAATTCGTTTAAGATTTCAGGTATTTACCTGAGGCGATAAGCTCAAGGCAAACGTGTGGAAGATCATCGTAAAACAACTCCATAAATTTCAAGTAAATTAATCCTAAGTTAAGAAGATTACTTTGATTAAAAACAATTACTTGAGTCTTAAATTTTAATAATATGTTTTATAAGTTTTTAATCACCATGTAAAAGCCATCGCAACATCCAACTTGCAATAAAAAATAAAGAGTTCAGCGTGACAACTGAATTGAGTAATTACATTTCTAAATTTCAGTAATTTTCTTTAGTTCAAAATGTATGTTGATTTATATATATTTTTTAGTTCAATTAGATTTCTATTATAGCAGATTCTTCATATTGTTCGATAGAAAAGATATGCATGATAAGCATAGTAAGGAAAGATATAAATGCAAGAGATGAATAATATTTAGATAGAGATTACATATAAGATAGACATCTAGAAAAGATATGCATGATACAAAATAAAAGATATGTATGAGATAGATATAAGAAAGAAATGCATGAAATAGATATATGAATGATATAAAAGATATGTCTGATGAATAGTTGTACAACTGAATAAATATGAATGTTAATAGATGTATAAAGAGATCTCAGAATAATGTATGTATGAAGAAAGAAATAGCTTATATGTGAATGCTTGCATGTGCATGTTCAAAAAAGAATTTCACCCCTAATCGTACAGGAAAGTGAAGTCAGTGTGCCAGCACAAGTAGAATTTTTTTACCACACTAGACAATTATGTTTATTAGTTCACTAACCGCTCTGCTGATTAGATAATATCGATCAGGGGCAAGTAGACCACTTATCTCAGACAATTGTAATGTTTACATTACTAACCGTTGTTACGATGGGATAATACCAGTCAAGGGCAGGTAAGAGTCTTTCCACCCTAGATATTCGCGATGTGTAGATCGCTAACTACTGTGTCGACGGGGCAATATTGACCAAGGGTGTGTTAAATTTGTTGACAGAGATCCTCACAGAGACAGATGTGTATGTAAAGTATAAACTAAAAGTAAAGTTAAGCTAAATGCATATAAGATATTAGTGTGTGTTCATTAATAAAAGACCACTGATGCATTTATTAGCATTTATCATATTGTTTATAAACATATATCAGATTGCTTATAAACTTATATTAGATTGCTTATAAATAAATATAAAAGACCAACATATTATAAGATTTCTTATATACACACATACATATTGTACTTTTTCCTTAGATTCCTGTAATTTAGTAGCGTTATTACTCGAGGGTTAATTTTAGATAAATCCTTATGTTATTTTAATATTATATTTTGATTTTAAACTTTTGAACAAGATGAATAAAATACGAGCAAATATTTATAGAAGACGAGAACAACAAATGGAAAGGTACAAATTTTCACGTATTAATTTTAATTATTTTTTTAGTGGTTCTTTCATGTATTATTAAAATATTGATTTGTTAGTAATAAAATTAGAATAAAAGATGACTAATTTCCACCGCCTGACTGTCCGTTCCCATCTTGTTAATTTCAAGCCCGCGCTGGATTGTAACACAAATGAAACAGGACACATGCGTTATATTGAGGTGCCACAACAATATTTCAAGTTCAAGTTAGATTCTTAATCATAAGCTTGTTTCATTGTTTATTACTCATGCAATCATCTTGCACAAAGAATGCTAATTTCTAGTCATTTAACAGTGACCCAAATGGTTTGTCTATGGTCGTCTCTCATCTACCCCGCTTTGAAAAATCTAAACTTTTTAAGCATAATATTTTAACAAACATCAACCCTTAGACTTTATCTGTTGATGTATTACATATGCAATGTGATACCAGAGAAGGGTGGTTGAAGAAGATTTAGCAAAAATCAAGAAAGAGAGTCAAGACAAGAAAAAAAAACAATAAAAAAATGATGAGATGCACTAATCAAATAAAACATGCAAGAGTTTCGTACTCACGCAACCAACCGTGACACAAAAATTACCACCCGAAGGATTGATGAATGAAGGAGACCCGTGATATAACCATGAACAACAGAGGGATCCAATTGCCACCACCCAACGTCGTGGTTACAGAGTCACCCGCATCCAGGAACCACAAAGGAGCACAGGTTCTTACAAAATTCAAATGAACAAAAAATCCTTAATACAATAAACAACTACATATTTATAATCAACAAAGAACCTAAACCTAATAAAAAGCAAACAGACAAAAATAGTTTTTCTGCAATTAGGAGAGGCGAAACCCTAGCACTAGAAATAGGGTTGACCGGCCCTCCCCCACTTGGATGGAACTGGTGCGGGGCCCCCTCCCTGCCCCGTACCAATCTACCGGACTTGATGGAGCATCGACCTCATATGTTGAAGCATTTCACTCCCCATGTTATGGCTTCAAGTCGACCATGTTGAAGGTGGTCGAGCTGCTGTAACCTCTTAGGATTGGAGGGCCTTAGACTTCTGACACTTGTCTCTTCGGTGGCATCGCTAAGTTTGAGATTTAGGAGGTCAAAGAGAGTGTATGTGACTGTTTTAGGGCGCAAAAAAAATATTTAAGATTGCTGATTTAGAAAATCAACATAGGAAGTTATGACTAGGTCAAGATATGGCTATGGTTTAGTGAGTTAAGGGGCGTATTTAGGTTGAAGAAAAAAATACTCAGGACTGCTAATTTTGAAACTAAGCAGGGGTGAACTAGGTTTAGGTCAAGATTTAGATTTGTTTTGGTGGATTTAGGTTTGGAAGGATTTTGGTAACCCTAAGAAGAAACTGGGGTTAGGCTAAAGGATTAGGCTAACTCTGATATCGAACGATACCGGAGAAAGTGGTTGGAGAAGATTCAACAAGAACAACAAAAAAAACAATCAATACAAACACAAGATGCATTAATGAATTAAAATATACAAGATAAAAGAGTTTTTCCTACTCTCGCAACAGATCAGGATACACAAGTTACCACTTGAAGGATTAAATAATGAAGAAGACCCCATATATCACCACCAGAGGAGAGATACAATTGCCACCACTCAATACCATGAATATAGACCTAACCCCATCTGAGAACCATGATGAAGCACATGCCCTCACAAAACTCAACTGAACAAAATCCCTACTACTAATAAATGACTACATATTTTTAATCAACAAAAGACCTAAACACAAAAAAAGCTAACGGACAAAAATACTCTTAAGAGTAGAAGGCAACCCTAGCCCTACAGAAAGGGTCGATTGATCCACCTTAAAATTACCTGATTTTTATGTACATTTAATGCTCAATTTTTTAGGATATTATACTTTAATGAATATTATTTTTATGTTTTTAGTTATATGTACAACAAAAAGAGTTAAAAATACATAAAAAATAAGCAAAATGAGCAAAATTGAAGAAAAGTATCAAAGCAGCCGAACTGGCACCTAGGCGTAAGATGCTGAATATGGCTAGCGCCTAGGTGCCACACTTATCTTCTAGAAGATTCATTGAATGAGGCCGAAGATGTCTGGAGCAACCCTTGACCATTTTTGAAGCTCTATAAATATAGATTAATTCCAAGAGGTCAGGGGGTCGAATCTATAGAGTTTCATAATGTGTGTTAAGTTTGTGTTAAGCTCTATGAAAAGTTTTCTTTGTGAGTCTGTTATTTCTGGAGTTTATGAGTCTTGTAAGTGTTGTTAGAGTCAGAGAAGTCATAGAACTTCAAAAGAGTGTTTGGGGTAACATTTCAGATAAGTATTTGTATCATTATCCTTTTTGTTTTGTTATCCACACATGAGTGGTTTTCTTTCTCCTTGCAATATGAAGTAATTAAATAAGTTATTTTGATTTTATTTAGAACTTTTATTCCTAAAAATTGTGATAATATTTTTACCGGTCATTCATTTACATTACAAATTGGCCACTTGTATTGTTAAAACTTGTTGAAGAACTTATAAATCCGAAAGGGCTAAGATTTCTTGACTTGTAAGTATCACATTCTGCCTTGTAAAGAACAGTC